ATTGCTATCATGATGTGGCCATGCGGCTGCCACCTGTTTTTGACTGAGATGTTTCCTAGGGTCAAGTACACGGGGTGACCTACTACTCGTCCATCATTGGACAGGTTGGTCGCGTCGCTGTAAATTATAACGGTAGCCAATACAGCACCCATCGGAAGCATGCCCTGTATCTCAATCCACATATTCCCGGTCTCCGGCCCTGCGTAAATGCGTTGTTTGCCATCCGATGTGTAAAGCGGCGCAGCTCGCAACACAAACCCGCTATGGTTCTTGGGATCTGAGAACAGCCCTTCTATTGCCTTAGCGAGTGATGTCAAGTAGAGCGTGGCGACATGATTGTCGTCGTGACTAACGTCGACGGACTCCCACTCCGTTATCCCAGTCATTTGTACTAATAATGCCTTAGCGTACTTGTCCATGCCAGCCATGTTTGTATAGCTAGGTCTCTCCGCTGTGGGTCGACAAAACAACGCTAATATCTTGTTCGTGTCCGTAGCAGATAACCCCATGCCTTTATTGCAGCTGTGGATGACCTTTAGAAACGCCTTGTCCATGTCAAATGGCGGTACTACCACTGGTGGTGGGTCCATTGAGAACGGTTCAGGAAGTGAAAGCTCTGGGGAATCGTCTACTATCTCTGGAGCCATGCTTGCAGTGGTTCTAGCCCGCGAACACCCTGCATCCGTTGGTGAAGGTGCTGGTAAATCCGTGTTGGGCCCATTACTCCCATGGGCATTTCTCCGTCTAATATGCAGGACCAAGTCATCCACCTCCTCCTGCTCACGGGGCCGCTTCCTGCATGCCCGTTGATGATTCTCCAAAGCTCTACCGCTCGTGAAGGTCCTGTTGCAGCATGTGAAAAGCATGATTACTAAAAGGGCAAAAACAGGTGACCCCTTGTACCGCTTCATATTCACAAATATTCAGTAGTTCTGCCACCTCTAGCGCCTAACCCTAGGTACTGCATTCATAATAGTTGCTATAACTAAAAGCATCTAAATCCCGATGGAGTTGCCTAATCTCTGAATCTCTGAATAATCGCACCGCCATCGCATCGCTGCTTCTTGGTACTTGGAAAACTGCATCCAATGTCAAAATAAATGTGATCAAACACTGAAAGTGTAACTAAACTAAGTCTGGAAAAGCAAAAGTGAAGAGTTTGAAGAGCTAATACTAGACTTACTCTGGACCCTGGACGATAATCTGTCGATTAGATCACTGTGACATCGTCTGTGGTGCACTTTCCGTAGCGCGCATCGGAATAATTGGATAAACATAGTGGTAGTGAAACAAGCGTTTAGGAGATTCTAAACGGAAAGTTGCTGATCAGTACGCGGTCACGACACGGGAAAACCCATATTTCTAACACTGATTTCCGGAGAGCAAGCAGATCGCGCATCGCAACGGGTGGTGTTGCGATATGGTTGGTGAGACAAGGTACTAACGGTATGAGGAGCGAAGTACCTGTCCTAACGATTATGAACAACGGGCACTTAACTCCAGTAAGGAACGTTGGAGCAGGTGTTTGGGAAGAGATGGGATGGTGGGGAATGGGTTGTGAAGGTCGCATCATATGTGGTGATGCGACAGTCACCGATGTAATGGCGTCATCTGCGCCATTCAAATCGTTGTGCGACGTCGCATAGAAGCGGTGCAACGCCAACTGGAAATTTGTCTGTAAAATTCAGGGCGTCGCATGTGTGGTCGCGCGACGACGTGGACGCCAAACTATGGTTATCGAGCTCAGGAAATGGCGACGAGGCTGACCAATCGGACCGTCGTCTGACAGCTCGGGCGATTTCGCAGGCTGTTGAATCAAAAGTTGTGCGACGGCGCTGATCAATCACACGTTAGGGTGTCGCGTGATGGTGGCATAACATTTCAAAGTCAAATAAGCAGGGTAACAATTCAATGTGTTTATTTGTTACAGCTAAATTATAAATAATTGAGTGTGAGCAGTATTCACACTATCCTGGATTGGATTTGTGATTTCAAACTAGCTCAAGGAAAAAGGATAAATTTCAATTCATACGTCCAAAAGAAGAAATATTACAACTTCACCAAGAAACCCAATTTTCATATCGTTCATATTTACACAATAAAAGATAAATACATGCCTTTACCGTAACAACGACGAGTCAATACAGAATCATCTTCGAGAACCCTCGAGAAGCAGCGTACGATCCGACGATCTGCCCGCTGGAAATTTCAAACAGCCTACAGCTTGCAGGTAAATTTCGCGTGATGGAGTCATGCAGATTCGCGGGCAATAAAAATTGCGGGAAACCTGTTCGCAAATTTCCCAGATTGACTGCTGGAAATCAGCGCGAAACCACTATCAGCAGGAACACGAAACGCAACATGCGAGCGAATAAGGGTAAATGTGCGATGTTGCTGCAACATGGGATTTGTTGCTGGTGGTTGTTCCCCTGCCGACAGCTCGATGCGGCGGGAAGGCTTTCCTGAAAGGCGGAGGGAGTGAGAGCAAGAAAACTTCGGTTGCGCCTCGACCTTGAGATTAGTTTGTTGATGTGATGTGATGTGATGGGCTTGGGGTTGTTTGTCTTGGCTACGGCGATGGATCTGTTTTGCTCACATGGCTCAACGGTTGGATGTGGTGGGGGCAATGGGGAATGGGCTGGATTGGGTGGATTGTTGTGGGCGTGCTTGTTTCGGTGTGGTGGTGCTGACTGGCTTGGGCAAGGCAAATTCTTTAACCACTGGACGCCTTGTTCCGACATTTGCGTCTCCTCAGAGGTTGCCTTGTTCTTTTGACTCTACTGAAAGTCAGCTCTTGAGTCCACTCACGAGGCACCTTGTTCCTGCAAACGCGCCACGAGAATATCAGATTTTCGAACTGGTGGCGAGACTGATGCGTGCGAAATTCCCGAGTTGGCGGCGAAACGGATGGAGAAAGATCTTCTCCGGACGAAAGTACTAACGAAAATATTGGCGAGTTACATCTTGAGGCGACAATGTGTCAGGGAAGCTAAAGCATTTTCCCAATGGCAAACTTGGTTATCAGCCCGTTCACCGAGCCTGCTATATATCAAGCCAAGCTTCCAGACAGGGGTCGCCAGACAAGATTGCCCGTTGGTCAAGGCTCACTGCTGCCATGGCGATTGCGCGTTCGCAAACTTTTGTTACCCTCGTCAGTGTTTGTTCTGGTTGGGGGGTGGTGTGTGGTCACAACGAGCCGTATGTTTTCATCGGTGGCAGGTCTGGCGGTGAGCCAGGCGGGCAAGCGGGCCTGGCGGGCCAACAAAATTTGGCGATCGCAACCTGACCACTGTCAAGAGAAGTAGCCCACTGTCAAGAGAAGTAGCAGGGGAAAAGGGAGAGACCTGGAGGGGGGAGGGGGGGAGTGGGGGGAAAGGAAGGTTTTGGGGGGAATGAAGCGGAGAGGGGTCTGGGGAGGGGGAAAAGGTGGAGGAAAGGGCCATGGGGAAGAGGGGGAGAGGCGGAAGGGGAAAGAGGAATCGCTCGACTTGACTCAGGCATTATCAGAATTCTGTAGTGCTGGGGTGGTTGGGTTGGATTGGGTTGGTCTGGGTTCGGTGACGCGGTCGGATCAGCAATTGTGGACATAGCAGTGTGCTCGCTGGTCCAGTTCGTGGTGAGGGAATGTCTTGACTCATGCCTTAGTCTTGCGTCCCCGTGGTTGGTAGGTAGTTGTTGGTGGTTGCTGTCTTCAATTGCCGTATTCCAGTGGCTTCTCGGAACGCCTACTTCCTACATTACCTCTAGCCGCAACCTGGAACAATGCTTCGTCGAATATTCGTGCTATTCTGAGCCGCGAAACCAGATTCCTTGTCGGTGCGGGTTCCGACGAGCGAGTGGAAAGCTTCAGCAGTTGTAGTCTTGCGAATGTACGCACCTTCAAGACACGTCGCGCTAATTTGACTCCAGCTCGTTTTTCGTCTCTCTCGTCTCCGTCTTTCTTCGTCTTTCTTGAACTGTCTCCAACTGTTTCCGTCAGTCCCCGTCTGTCTCCGTCCACCTCCGACTCTGGTCCACTCTAAGAACTGTTTTGCCGGTTCTATGTGAGATTCAGAACAGGCAAACGTGCCGATTGACGGATGTATGACTGACCGTGTCGCGCGTCCGATTTTATTTTCAGACGTACGGCTATGGCTTGGGAATTCTCCCTTCAACTCCACAGTTGCGCGATGAAGCGACGAGTACGGTCGAGATTTCGCCACCCGCCGCGGCCGTTGCACAACGTACGCGTCGTCTGACTGGAATCGTAGTGTTTGTCGTTTCATAATCGCGAATGCATTTACCTTTCGTCCGGCCTATCAGGCATCTCCGTTTTCAAATGGGTGTGTTACGAAAAAGTTTTCACGAGATTGTAGCCTCCCCATATGCGTCCACTTCCGTCCCCTATATCTCCCCCGCCCCCTCCCCCGTCCTCCGAGTTCGTCTTTCTCCTCCCTTTGCCTTTCCCGATGATATTACCCTCTCCCCGTGCCAGATCTTCTGTTTATTGTCGTGCGCTGCTATCGTGGCTGCTGCTTCTAACGCGCCTTCTCTCACCGAATCGCCCTCCACGCCATCCACTTCTATCGAGTCTTCTTATAACGCAGCTGATCATCCCAGAGATCTTCCTGTCCGCGGCACCCCACACACCAGACGTTCGTCCTTTAGATTGGACCCAACGGCTTGGCCCCGTTTGCATCTGAACCGCACCCGTTCAACGGCTGATCATCCCAGAGACCCTCACGCCCGCGGCGCCCCACACACCAGACGTTTCGCTTATGGTTTGGTTCGAACGGCTTGGCCCCGCTTGCATCTAAACCGCACTCTCAGAAGCAGCGTCGATTCAATATCTCCACCTTTTAGAGGCATCGGCGGCAGACGCATTAGAAGCAGCAACAGCAGTTTCGAGCGTTCAAGGAGAGCGATGCAAGACAGGTTCAAGCAGCCCTTCACCTCCGATCCAACCTCCGTCAGACTCAGGCCCAACAACGTTGCTCCCACTGCCACTCGCTCTCCCAGGTATGCCCCACCCCCCGTTCGCCCCATCCCCCGTTCGCCCCATCCCCCGTTCGCCCCATCCCCCCTTCGCCCCATCCCCCCTTCGCCCCATTCTCCCTTCGCTGCTCTCCCCCTACGCCCCACTCCCTCCCCCCCTTCCTCCTTGGTGCCCCCCTCTCGCCCTCATTCTCTCAGGTTTTCTCCATGCGAATAAAATTTCAAGGAAAAAACCATATTAGTCGCTTTTTCTTCCCTCCCCACTGCCCAAACTCCAGTCAATTGCCAGTCATCCCGTCAGACTTGGGCCCAGAAATAAAATCCTACTGCGGGCAGGGTGTTTGCGCAAAGGACCCCAAGTGGTGCGGGGTAATGCACAACCCTATCCGCGTCTACCTCGTGTGGTACAGAAGCTTCTCCGACGCCCAAAAGAACCTTCTCCGAACTTTCATCCGCTCCTTCAGCAGCACTGAAGGCACAGGTGAGAGAGTTGTTCAAGGCAGCAGCACTGAAGGCACAGGTGAGAGAGTTGTTCAAGGCAGCAGCACTGAAGGCACAGGTGAGAGAGTTGTTCAAGGCAGCAGCACTGAAGGCACAGGTGGGTCCTCTCAACTCGAAGTGCCTCATACAAGCAGTTGATAGTCTTATTAGTCTTATCAGCACTGAAGGCCAGCATTTTAGAATCCAAATCCCCTCGTCCTTTCCCTTCCCCCTTCCCCTTCTCCACAACCCCCCCCAACATTCTCTAACTGGTGGCGAACCAACAACCTCTATTATGACTGCAATGGCCGCTACGTCTCCTCCTCTGTCCGCCTGCCCAAAGGAGCACCACGTGAGTTACTGAGCCCCCCCTCTGTGCCTCCCTCATTCCCTCTCCCACCCCCTCCCCGTGCGTACAGTCGCTGACTGGTGGCGAACCAACACCCTCTATTACGACTGCAATGGCCGTTATGTCTCTTCTTCTGTGACTCTGACAAGGTGTTTTGAGACGTCTCAAAACACTCTTATTATCACCTGACTGGTGGCGAACCAACACCCTCTATTACGACTGCAATGGCCATTATGCCTCCTCCTCTGTGACTCTGGCAAGGGACCAGCACGTGGGCAAAGGAAAACTGCGTCTTTTTCTCCCTCTCCTCCCCCAACAGTCGCTGACTGGTGGCGAACCAACACTTTGTATTACGACTGCTATGGCCGCTACGTCTCCTCCTCTGTGATTTTGGCAAAGGAGCACCGCGTGAGGCGCCCCCTCAAGCTGCTGTTTGGGCTCAAGTCGATTCGCCGGGTGGTGAAGACGCGGGTGAAGGCTGGCTCGTTTCCCCTTGACGAGGATGGAGTGTACTTTGTGATTGGCGATGGGAGCGTTGCTCAGGTGCGTAGAGGTGGGGTGCGGTGGTGGTGGGTTTGGTGGTCAGAGCAAGGCTGGTGATGAAGAAGAGGTTTTTGGGCGGTGCGTTTCCCTCCCCTTGATGAGCATGGAGGGTACTTTGTTATTGGCGATGGGAGTGTGGCTCAGGTGCGTAGAGGTGGGGTGCGGTGGTGGTGGGTTTGGTGGTCACAGTAAGGCTGGTGATGAAGAAGAGGTTTTTGGGCGGTGCGTTTCCCTCCCCTTAATGAGGATGGAGGGTACTTTGTTATTGGCGATGGGAGTGTGGCTCAGGTGTGTCTGATCCGGAGGTGCGGTGCGGTGGTGATGGGTGTGATGGCTTTATGAGGGTGAAGAGGGACACGTTTCCCCCTTGATGAGGATGGAGTGTACTTTATTATTGGCGATGGAGTGTACTCATTTCCTCGGTGAGGATGGAGTGTACTCATTTCCTCGGTGAGGATGGAGTGTACTCATTTCCTCGGTGAGGATGGAGTGTACTCATTTCCCCCCTCTCACCTCCCCATGCTTACCCCACCATACTCACCTCCTACGTTCGCCTTCCTTTGCTCCCACCAGAGGGACAGCCAGGGCGCCATGTGCAGTGCAGTGCAGTGCGGTGCGGTGCAGTGCAGTGCAGTGCAGTGCAATGCTTCTCTCACCTCTCTCCTCCCTCTCCCAACAGAGGGACAGCAAGGGGGCCATGTGCAGTGCAGTGCAGTGCGGTGCGGTGCGGTGCAGTGCACTGCAGTGCAGTGCAATGCTTCTCTCACCTCTCTCCTCCCTCTCCCACCAGAGGGACAGCCAGGGCGCCATGTGCAGCGCAGAGCGTGCTGCGGCAGGCACGCTCACTTCCCCACTCACCTCTCCTCTCAATAATCTCCACATTCTCACCGCTGCTTCTCTCACCTCTCTCCTCCCTCTCCCAACAGAGGGACAGCTAGGGCGCCATGTGCAGCGCTCCTCACTTCCTCCTATGTTTATCCCCTCACCTCTCCTCACCTCACATAGCTTCCCCCCCAAACAGAGGGACAATGAGGGCGCCATGTGCAGCACTTACTGCGGGTGGCACGACTTTGTGAGGATTCAGAAACCGCTTATCAAACTCACGTCCCCACACTTGCTTCCCCCCATGATTACTGCTTCGTACTCACCTCCCTTCGCCCATGTTTCCATTCTACGCCTCACATTTTCTTCCCCCCCTACAGCGGGACAATGAAGGAGCCATGTGCAGCGATTACTGCGGGTGGCACGACTTTGTGCGGATTCGAAAGAAGCTTATCAAAGTGGCTTATGTGGGTAGCCCTGTCAAGGTGCGTGGTGACGGAGGGTTGAGAGTGGTTAGAGAGGGTTGAGAGTGGTTAGAGAGGGTTGAGAGTGGTGAGAAAGTTGTCAGAGAGTGCTGAGGCCAGAAGAAGCTCGTCAAGGTGGCTCATGTTGCCATCCTATTTCTCTCCTCTACCCCTCACTCAACCTTTTCCCCATCCCTCGCCACTACCCCTCAATAAACCATTTCTTCATCCCTCTCCCACTCTCCCAGTGCCCCAGCAGCTGTTGGCTCGCTGCCTTTGCCTTCAACGACAGCCCCAACAGCGATAAGTCGTTTGACTCGCTGCTCTCCACCTTCGCGCACGAGCTGGCAGAGGCGACGAGTGACCCGTATGTGACCAATTGGTACGACGCAATGGGGCAGGAGAACGCCGACATTTGCGCCTGGAAGTGAGTAACAGGGGGGTGTGAGGGGGAGGGGGAAGGATGGATACTGGCTGTGCAGAGGCGACGAGTGACCCGTATGTGACCAATTGGTACGACGACTCTGGGCAGGAGAACGCCGACATATGCGCCTGGAAGTGAGTGAGTGGGGGGAAGTGGGGTGGGGGAAGTGGGGTGGGGGAAGTGGGGTGGGGGAAGTGGGGTGGGGGAAGTGGGGTGGGGGGAAGTGGGGTGGGGGAGGTGGGGTGGGGGAAGTGGGGTGGGGGAATTGGGGTGGGGGAAGTGGGGTGGGGGGAAGTGGGGTGGGGGAGGTGGGGTGGGGGAAGTGGGGTGGGGGAAGTGGGGTGGGGGAAGTGGGGTGGGGGAAGTGGGGTGGGGGAAGTGGGGTGGGGGGAAGTGGGGTGGGGGAAGTGGGGTGGGGGAAGTGGGGTGGGGGGAGTGGGGTGGGAAGACGCGGTTCGATTTGACTCGCTGCTCTTCACCTTCGCGCACGAGCTGGCAGAGGCGACGTGTGATTCGTATGTGCTGAATTGGTACGACGCTGCTGGGCTGGGCAGGAGAACGCCGACCTATGCGCCTGGAAGTGAGTAAAAGGGTGGGGGGGGGGTTGTGGGGTGGGGAAGGGCTTGGAATCGCAGAGGAAGCGAGGGTGACCCTTGGGTAGCAGCTTTCGTTCGACTCGCTGCTCTCCTCCACCTTCGCTCATGAGCTGGCAGAGGTGGCGAGGCGAGTGGCGAGGCGAGTGGCCTTTTTGAGGCGAGTGGCCTTTTTGAGGCGAGTGGCCTTTTTGAGGCGCCTCAAAAATCGAGTGGCCCCTATCTGCTGATTTATTCTGATGCCTCGGGACAGGAGAACGCCGACTTATGTGCCTGGAGGTGAGCAGCAGGAAGGGGAGGAAGGATTGGGGGGAGGGTAGATAAGGGGAAAGAGGTGGGGAAGAGGGCTGAATGGCCTCTGACGCTCAGCAGTGCACTAATGAACAACGTGTTTCTCACTTTTCCTCCATTTTCTATGCTTCACATCTTCCCCTCCAAAACTGCCAGCCAGGACTGGCAGCCTCTCGTACACATCAGATGCTGCAGCGTCTAACGTGGAAGGCCTCAAGGGTGGTGGTGTGAAGGCTGTGATGGTCCTGGTTGGACCAACCCTGGTCCATGCGTCAAATTCTCCATCCTCTCGTTTCCTTTCATTTCCTTTGATTCGCATTCTTCACTCAAAACCTGGCAGGACCGGCACCCTGTCCTACACATCAGATGCTGCAGCGTATAACCTGGAGGGGGTGGCTGGGACCAAGTTCCTCATCCAGCAGAACTATGACCCGGTTCAACGAACCTGCGTTACCACCACTGCTGGTTGACCAGATTCACTGAACCTGGAGGGGTTGGTGGGACCAAGTTCCCCTTCCAGCAGACCTACGACCTGATTCATCAAATCCACAGCCGCTGGTTGACCAGGTTCACTGAACCTGGAGGGGTTGGCTGGGACCAAGTTCCTCTTCCCGCAGAACTACGACCCGATTCAACGAACCTGCGCCACCACCGCCGCTGCCTGACCAGATTCACTGGACCTGGAGCGGGTGAATGTTTCCAAAGTTCCCCATCCGCGGCCTGATTCAACGAACCTGCTTGCCACCACTGCTGCTGCTGCGGCTGCTGCTGCCGCTGCCTGACCAGGTTCTTTGAACCTGAACCTGCATCACCACCACCGTTGCAGCGCGACTCGATACGTTGAATCTGGACCCGCTGTCACGACTGATGATCAGTGCTGTCTTGACTCTCATGGCAGAGTATTGAGGCACCCCAAACCAGGTGGGAGCGAGAGAGAGCGACGGAGGCCAAGCATGAGGGAGCCTGTGAGAGCAAGCGAGTGCAAGAGGGAGAAAGAGAGAGCAAGAGCAAGAGAGAGAGAGAGAGAGCAAGAAGGAGTAAGAGAGAGAGCAGGAGAGAGCGAGAGAGGGAGCAAGTGAGGGCAAGGGGGGAGCAAGGGAGAGCAACAGAGGCCTAACGAGGGCACCGGAGAGAGAGAGAGTGCAAGAGAAGGCAGGAGAGAGCGAAAGAGGGCAGAGAGAGTGCGAGGGAGCCATGTTTCCACAACACAGCAGTGAGTGAGAGGCTCTCTGCTGAAGTGCTAGGCGTTGAATCTGGTTGTTTGAAATTCTAAAAATAACGGGTGAAATGGCTCTGTGGACAACCAAGGAGAATATGCAGCATCATCGGTGGCAGCGGCAGCGGTTGGTGGGGAAAATTTCATGACTACCAGTAGGTACGGTATGCCTCTGATGCATGCAGCTTGTAATGGGCTCAAAATGATGGCATTCTACCGTAACATCTGCATCTATCAGTGAACTTGTACCGTTTTGAATTTGCGAGGAGCATGACACGAGAAGCAGCAGGCTTTGTAGCAGATGTTTTCAAGGTGCTCATTTTTCATGACGAGTAAATTCATTATTGAGATGTACAGCACAAACTGTAGTGTAGTGTAGTGCACCCAATCACTGTAAATCTACAGTTTGTGTTGTGTAGTCTTCAGGAGCTCAGAGTATTCCATCCCAGGGGGGGTCTTGTAAGCATCTATCAACAAGGAACCACAAGAATGCCTGTATCTTTTGCTTATCCCAGCAGGGAGGGTCACGGAGGCGAGGGAATGTCCTGTACAGTCCGTGAAGCGTTACGACTTCTCCTGGAGCGGCGAAAGATCTGATCGCGAAGAGAGATGGTGGTGGTGAAAGAGGGGGGGTGGGGGGAGAGGGGGGGGGAGAGACGGGGGAGAGGGGTTGTGGGGGGGGAGGGTGGGAGGGTAAGAGGATCACGTAACGGAGTGGATCGAGAGGGAGAGTTTCATATATGAAGCAGAACGGATCATGTTTGAGATATGACACCAGGGAACTAACCTGTGCAATGGTTTTGGTGAGTGAGGGAGTGAGAGTGAGCGGCAATGCCCAGAGGGCCAAACATGAGCATGGAAAGGTAGGCATAGGCATAGCTAGTTCGGGATTCGGCTTGACACGCGGCTTACCTGCGCAATGGTTTTGGTGAGGGAGTGAGAGTGAGCGGCAATGCCCAGAGGGCCAAACATGAGCATGGAAAGGTAGGCATGGGCATAGCTAGTTCGGGATTCGGCTTGACACGCGGCTTACCTGCGCAATGGTTTTGGTGAGGGAGTGAGCGGCGATGCCCAGAGGGCCAAACATGAGGCAGAGCACGAGCGAGTGCCGCGTCTCCAGCTTCTGCTTCAATCCGTCCAGATACACGTGCCTGTGGGGGAGGAGTGGGGAGGAAGGAATGAGGAGGATGAGGGGGCGTAACATGAGGCAGAGCACGAGGGAATGCCGTGTCTCTAGCTTCTCTTTTAAGCCGTCCAGATACACGTGCCTGTAAGAGAGAAGGGGGAAGGGGGTGGGGAGGAGAGAGGGGGGAGGGAAAAGAGAGGGGGGGTATGAGCGGCGATGCCCAGAAGGCCAAACATGAGGCAGAGCTCAAAAGTGAGTGCCGCGTTTCGAGTTTCTGCTTCAAGCCGTCCAGATACACATGCACGTGCGGGGGAAGTGGGGGTGGAGGAGGAGGGACGGAAAACAGTGATTACGCCATTTATATACACGCGCCATGGGGAGAGAGGGGGGCGGGGGGAAGAAAGCTGCACTTCTTGTGTGTAGGGGTTGAAGTGCTCCCTGAATTACCTTGAATACTCTCCTGACGGGTTTTTCTGAGAAATCACCTGAGGGCAAAGATCAGTTGAACCTGGCAAGCTTCTGACAACAGAACTGCCGCCTCATTGTCGTTTTCCAGAGCTTTGTAAACCTCCTGGTGTCTCACCTGACAGACCTAACATCTCACCTGACAGACCTAACATCTCACCTGACAGACCTAACATCTCACCTGACAGACCTAACATCTCACCTGACAGACCTAACATCTTACCTGACAGACCACATGACGACTCACCTGACAGACCACCTGAGAGCTCACCTGGCGGCAAAGAGATCAACGGCCAGCAGGTGGATCCAGGCGGAGGCGACAGTGAGCGTGCTGGCGAACATCTGAGTGATGCCCGCTAGCTGGTGTGGGGAGACCAGGGCGGAGGGGGAGATGGAAGCAAGAGCAGGGGAAAGGGAAAGGCGTGGGTGGTGCGTAGATGTGAATCCAGGCAGAGGCGACAGTGAGCGTGCTGGCGAACATCAGAGTGATTCCCGCTAGCTGGTGGTGGAGAGACGAGGGGGAAGAGGAGGGGGCAGGGGGAGAGGGGAGGAGGGGGGGGGGGGGGGGGGGAAGGAGGAAACAAGAGCAAGGGAGGGAAAGGGGTGGGTGGTGGGCGGGTGAAGACAGGCGGAGGTGACAGTGGAGGTGCTGGCGAACATCTGAGTGATGCCCGCTAGCTGGTGTGGGGGGGGAGACCAAGGGGGGAAGAGCAGAGGCACAGCACAGCACATTACGCTTGTGCACTCAACTAGACAGGCAGCACATTTAGCACCCGATGGGAAAGAAAATGAGAAAGAGAATCGAAAGAGACGCACCTCGGGCAGTCAGTATTTGGAGGAGAACATGTAGAGCAGCGTGTTGGGCGTCCACGACTTGTAGAGCAGGTAGAGGTACACGAAGCCCAGAAGAATGCTCCACACACCAATGGGGGGATGATAGAGACGCACCTCGGGCAGCCAGTAGTTTGAGGAGAGCATGTAAAGCAGCGGGCAGCGGATGGAGCAGCATGGGAGGCGCGAGAGGAGTTCAAGAGCTCGTAAAGGGGGGACTGATAGAGACGCACCTCGGGCAGCCAGTACTTGGAGGAGAACATGTGGAGCAGCGTGTTGGGCGCATGGGCTGGGTGGGGTGTTCAAAAGCTGGCAAAGGTACATTCTTAAGGACGCATCTCCGGCGCCCCAGGACTCATACCTCGGGCAGCCAGTATTTGGAGGAGAACATGTAGAGCAGCGTGTTGGGCGTCCACGACTTGTAGAGCAGGTAGAGGTACACGAAGCCCAGGAGAATGCTCGGCAGCGAGCTGCTCATGATCTTCTCCGTCTGTGGTGTGGGGTGGGGCGGGGTAGAGTGGGTTGGGGAGGGTTGGGGTGGGGTGGGGTGATAAGTGGTGGTGTCTTTTGAGAGGCGACTCAAAAGGCGTCACAACCTGTAGAGCAGGTAGTGGTACACGAAGGCGAGGAGAATGCTCGGTAGCGAGCTGCTCATGATCTTCTCAGTCTGTGGTGTGGGGTGGGGTGAGATGGAGTGGTGTGGGATTGGGGTGGGGTGGGGTGGGGAGGGGTGGGGTGGGTTGATGTCTTTTGAGGTGCCTGAAAACATAGGGCGTTCCGGACTTGTAGAGGAGGTAGAGGTACACGAAACCGAGCAAAATGCGTGGCCACAAGCTGCTCATACTCTTCTCCGTCTGCAGTGCGGTGTGGTGCTTGTTGGTGTGGTAATGGGTGAAGTGGTGCGGTGTGGTGTGGTGTGGTGTGGCGACGGGTGGAGTGGTGGGGTGTGGTGTGGTGGGGTGGGGTGTGCCGATGGGTGGGGTGGTGCAATGTGCAAGCAGCAGGAAGTAAGCGTACCACGTGCCAGTCTGGCGCGAAGATCATGAGCGTATAAAGAGGGATGACGGCAGCCGTACAGATGTTTGAGACACCTCATACAGGGGCTGCTTATATTGAGTTGGGAGTGAGACGCGTACCACGTGCCAGTCTGGCGCGAAGATCATGAGCGTATAAAGAGGGATGACGGCAGCCGTGCAGAGCGTGAACCAGCTGCTCGCAATAGTCACAGCGGAGCTACCCCCAGCTGCCATGGCTGCGGCTGCAGCGGAAGACGCAGCGGTTGTGACTATAGGGGGCGTCACTGGTGGGCGGGGTGAGGATGGGAATGAAGGGCGCGGAGAGAGAGGGGGTTGGGGGAGAGGGTAAGGGAAAATGCCGAAAACAGGATGGCCGATAGGAAGGTGCTGCAGGTAGGTGGAATTGAATGTCGACGGAAGGTGGACGGAAGAAGGATGCGTGCGGTTTGCGAAGGCTTTTGAGTCGACTCAGAAGTAGGTGGAATGGAAGGTGGACGGCAGGAGAACGGCAGGAGGATGCGAGCGCTTTGCGAGGGACGGCTTACGACTGCATTGAACTGGGCTGCTAGTGCAGAATTCGGCATCAACTCAAAAGGATGGCACCAAAACACGGCTTACAACTGCATTGGATTTGGCTGCCATTTGATATCTGTAGTTTTCTGAGCTTCGATCGCCCCGCGCCACGAGTTGACGGATTCGCAAAGCGTCCAGGTGTAAGGTGTGATACTGCCGTTCGCACTGCTGCCGTCGGTGTGGTTGTGGAGAGGGACACGTGGCAGCAGCAGGAGGAGGGGGAGGAGAGAAGCGACGAGGAAGAGGAGACCGCGACGACATGGGAGGCCTGCAATAACCAGTCAGGCAATAACGAGGATATTGGGGGTTCTGACGGAAACTTCTTAACCGACACGACGATCAAGAGTTTCTTGCAAGACGGCTGTCACAAAAGCACCGCACCCAATCTCCTTCAACCACTTCTGCTGGTTTGAGCTGCTAGCTGGCGCTACGTAATCCATTCTTTACTCAACGTCGATCAAAACTAAATACCACCGGATAAATTGTGTGCTGCAGAAGTATTGCGGCCGCCATAACCGCAATACTCATAGCACCCCCCTGATATAAACTTCTACTGCTGTCCTAAGCTGCGTGGCACTTCTCACCTCGACGGCCAACGAGCGCGCCGAGCCCTGCAACGCAGCAGACGCCATCTCGTCCGACTCTCCTCTTCCTCTCTCTGCTTGCTAAGCACGCAGCTGAGCTGAATGCTGATCCTAGAAAAATATGCCACCTTGTTCCGTCACATAATAGCTGTCCCGCACTTGTAATGATGGAATTGTTAGACTAGAGTAGTTATTCTCTCACAACCCTACCCGAACATTCTATTTTCTACACAACCGTTCTAGATCGTAGCGAAACTACCATTCCGAGAACAGCCTGTCCAGCGTCGCAAGACTTGGTGCTGCTGACCCAGGTTCACCGTATCGGAACGCACAGTAAACCTCTATGGCTACGCGAAGTCCTAATGTACCGAATGGATTCTGGATATTGGGGAGCGACATTGTTTTGCAATCAGGTGGCACACGCGGATGTCAGCCAGTTGTCCAGGCCAGACCAGAATCAAGGCATTGATCGTGTGCCTGACGCAAAGATGCGGCGTGGAGGTACGCTCGGACGCGTTCTGCTGTGTGATTGGTGGTCATGATCCTCTGTGTGGATTTCTGGGCCACGAGAAGCAGAGCTCCGATAGAGCTTCACCCGGTCTTGTTATACGATAAGCTCGCAAACACGCTCCAGTGATGGAATATGAATACCTCCAAGTACCAGAGAAAATATATCACTCTTCTACAAACCTGTCTAGCCTACTTGGCATCTACAAAACACTAGGGCACATAATTTCCTGTTGTCCACTGGCGGCAGTCTAGTAAGCCAAATTCTACCCTCAAAGAATCAATAATCCAGTCAAGTTCAAACCATACATACGGTATATTCTCTCCCATTCAAGGCTGAGGCCGCGACTGCACCACATAGATCTTATCACCCACAACACACCCTTCAATGTCCTGAGGCGAACCAAACCGGTCTTCCAAAAACGCCCCAACAGCTTCGAGCTTCTTAGCAAGCACCACCTGAGCATCAGGCGACGTAGACAGCAGCTGACCACTGTAATCCACTGCTTGCATCACAACTCCTCCCCCTCCCCCCGACCCAGCGCCTGTATTCCTTCCACCCGAACCGCCCCCAGCAGCAACAGGCGCCATCACGATTTTCTCGCTGAAATTCGCAAACGCCAGGATTCGAACCGAGCCGTCGGATTTCCCGACAGCGAAGCGCCACGCCGTGCCACGTGTGCCGGACGCCAGAGTCTCGCCCAGCCCTGGTGCCACCTCAGCGGAGAGGAAATCCGACGGTGCAGATGAGCCGGGAGCAACAGCACTCGTAGACGCAGATCCCGTGGCTTTCCCATTACTGCCACTGCCACTGCCGCTGCTGCTGTTGGCAAGTCGTGGACTGGGAACAACGAGAGCCCCACCAGCACCAGTGCCGATTCCCTTGGTGTGCAGCACGAAGCTAAGATCCGGTGGGGAGATTAACTCCTGGACTAGAACCGCCATAGCCGCATCGCTCTGACGCACGCCCGCCGCCCGCCGGCTCAGCACCGCGCGCCGCGTGAACAGTGACGCCCACACCGAGGCTACGGCTCGGCCGAACGAAGCAGGGTCGGAGAGGGTGACGTCCGGGACCGAATCATACAGCCCAGCTCCGGACATGCCAGCTAGATCCTCCACATTGGCGCTCGAGCGGACGATAAGGCGAGCGTTTGCGGAGAAGATATAGGAGAGGGTTCGGAAGAAGGCGGGGGGGAGGGGGGATTCCTCTAGGAGAGTGCGGATCTGGGCGCAGGTGCTGTCGAGAACGCTTCCTTGAAGGTTCGGGTCGTCGAGGGTGGCGACGAGGCGGTGGAAGAGTGTGCGGCGGTTGGAAGCGGTGATGGCCTCTTCCATTACTCCAAAGGTGATCACCGCCGAGCGGGGGACGGAGAAGTCAGCACCTGGAAAAGCGGGGGAACGGGGGAGTGGAGTAAGAAAAAGGAAAGTGTTGAGGGTGGCGACGAGGCGGTGGAAGAGTGTGCGGCGGTTGGACGCGTCCATTACTCCAAAGGTGATCACAGCGAAACGAGGGACGGAGAAGTCAGCACCTGATAGAAGGGGAAGGGGTTCGAAGTGAGATTGAGGGGTAAGGGGATTCACTGAGTGTGTGGCGGTTGGAAGCGGTAGACTAATGCACCGGAGACAGAGAGACATATGACACGAGAGGCTGGAGGGGCAAGTACCTGCAAAGGTGGAGGCGATTGAGGGCTCCTCCAGCTTCGCGCACGCATGTGCCTTGAGAGACGAGATCGACAGAGAGACTGGAGCAGCGGAGAGGTAGAGACAAAAGACACGAGAGGCTGGAGGGGCAAGTACCTGCAAAGGTGGAGGCGATTGAGAGCTCCTCTAGCTTGGCGCACGCATGCGCCTTGGCCCCACACGTGGCCAGCTGGGCCTCGTGCAGCGGCAGCACTGGCAGCCGCGCCTCCTGCACTCGGACCTGAGGCAGCACAGGGGGAGAGTAAAGGGCAGAGGAGAGATGAGACGTTAGGGTTCTGAAACATATTAACACACGGCCTTATGCAGCGGCAGCATGGCAGCAGCGATCCTGCACTCGGAATCGGCGGGGAGATGTGCGCGTAGCAGATGTGCTACCAGCGGATGTGCCTTTAGCAAATGTGCCTTAAACAGATATGCTTCTCTTGTTACGTGTGAATGCAGCACACGCACCAAATAAACAAAGTCGACTCACAGGTTGCACTTTCAGTGCCTGCACCCACACTTCATCCTCGCTCTTCCCACTGCTACTGCCGCTACAGCAGCAGTTACTAGCAGATGTGCTTCTAGTGGATATGCTTTTAGTGAAAGTGTGCAAGGTAGACTTACAGGTTGCGGTTTCAGTGCCTGCACCCACACTTCATCCTCGCTCTTACTGCTACCGCTACCGGCAGCGTCTGCAGAGGAGGAGGAGGAGGAGGAGGAGCGCTGGTCCACAGCAGCTCCTGTTATGACCTTCACCCCCTCCACCCCCGCCTCGAGGCTGCAGAGATTGAGATACAAGCGGGGGAGTGGGGAGGGAGGATTGAACGGCACAGAGTGATGGGAAGGTGTGAGAGAGGAGCGCTGGTCCACAGCAGCTCCTGTGATGACCTTCACCCCTTCCACCCCCGCCTCGAGGCTGCAGAGATTGAGACACAAGTGGGGGAGTGGGGAGGGAGGATTGAGTGAAAAAAGAGTGAAAGGGAAAAAGGAAACGGATTGCACACGAGGCCACAAAAGCAATGTAAGGGAGGATGGAGAGAGGCTCTTGGAGCAAGAAACGGCTTAGGCAAAAAACTAAGTGAAGATTAAAGAGAGGAAAAGGCAAAAAACATAAACGTTAGCAATGCTTTCCTTGCTGCATGCATGGTTCGAGCAGTTCATATGGGGGTGCTTACCGGATTCGAGAGCCAACAGCGGAGCGAAGGGCGGCGATTCGGTTCTCATCCTCGCATGTCATGAGCAGCACACCCTCCTGCATGGATGGATCATGGAGGGGTGCAGTGCAGCGGATGGGTGGGTGGATGGGTGGAGTTTTTTTCTTTTTACTTCTGAAGAACTGCGGATAGGAGGGTGGATAAAGGGCTTCTGCGGATTCTGATGAACAGACTCAACGCAAATGCTGTCATCCTGGCATGCCATGAGCAGCACACCCTCCTGCGTGATTACAGGGTTGAAGCGGATGGGTGGGTGGATGGGTGGGGTTTTTTTCTCTTTACTTCTGAAGAACTGCTTACAACACGAAGGTCGTTGCATGTCATGTCATGAGCGACACGACCAAGTGGGAAAAGTGGAACAGGCAGCCCCTGATCAGTTTTTGAGGCGCCTCATAAGCAGCCCCTGATCAGTAGCAACGAGTGTATGAAGTATTTAGTGTATAGCGTACAGTGTACAGTGTACAGTGTACAGTGTACAGCGTACAGTGTACGGCGTACGGTGTACGGCGTATAACCTCACCTGTCTCGCCCTGACGGCCAGAGGTGCGGCAGCTCTTGCACCAGATGCAGCAGCCCTACTAACTACAGTTTATAGCTAACAAATGTAGCGGCATCAATAGTTATACGAGCTGCTAGCGTCAATCAAATGTATAGTGTTAGTGTATAGTGTACAGGGTATCGCACCTGCCTGGCCCTGACAGCCAAGTGGGAGAGATGTGGCAGCTCCTGCAGCAACACCACAGCCTTGAGGTTGGCGCCTGCTGCTTTCACCTGCTCGCAGACATTAGGGATACCCGGAGACGTATGTATGGGGACATATGTGCGAGGATAGGTGTAGGATTAGATACGTAGACAGGTATGGGTGGTGGATATGGGTGGTGGATATGGGTGGTGGATATGGGTGGTGGATATGGGTGGTGGATATGGGTGGTGGATATGGGTGGTGGATATGGGTGGTGGATATGGGTGGTGGATATGGGGGGTGGATATGGGTGGTGGATATGGGTGGTGGATATGGGTGGTGGATATGGGGGGTGGATATGGGGGGTGGATATGGGGGGTGGATATGGGTGGTGGATATGGGTGGTGGATATGGGTGGTGGATATGGGTGGTGGATATGGGTGGTGGATATGGGTGGTGGATATGGGTGGTGGATATGGGTGGTGGATATGGGGGGTGGATATGGGGGGTGGATATGGGGGGTGGATATGGGTGGTGGATATGGGTGGTGGATATGGGGGGTGGATATGGGGGGTGGATATGGGGGGTGGATATGGGTGGTGGATATGGGTGGTGGATATGGGTGGTGGATATGGGGGGTGGATATGGGTGGTGGATATGGGTGGTGGATATGGGTGGTGGATATGGGTGGTGGATATGGGTGGTGGATATGGGTGGTGGATATGGGTGGTGGATATGGGTGGTGGATATGGGTGGTGGATATGGGTGGTGGATATGGGTGGTGGATATGGGGGGTGGATATGGGTGGTGGATATGGGTGGTGGATATGGGTGGTGGATATGGGGGGTGGATATGGGGGGTGGATATGGGTGGTGGATATGGGTGGTGGATATGGGTGGTGGATATGGGTGGTGGATATGGGTGGTGGATATGGGTGGTGGATATGGGTGGTGGATATGGGGGGTGGATATGGGTGGTGGATATGGGTGGTGGATATGGGTGGTGGATATGGGTGGTGGATATGGGTGGTGGATATGGGTGGTGGATATGGGTGGTGGATATGGGTGGTGGATATGGGTGGTGGATATGGGTGGTGGATATGGGGGGTGGATATGGGGGGTGGATATGGGTGGTGGATATGGGTGGTGGATATGGGTGGTGGATATGGGTGGTGGATATGGGTGGTGGATATGGGTGGTGGATATGGGGGGTGGATATGGGTGGTGGATATGGGGGGTGGATATGGGTGGTGGATATGGGGGGTGGATATGGGGGGTGGATATGGGTGGTGGATATGGGGGGTGGATATGGGTGGTGGATATGGGGGGTGGATATGGGTGGTGGATATGGGGTGGATATGGGTGGTGGATATGGGTGGTGGATATGGGTGGTGGATATGGGTGGTGGATATGGGTGGTGGATATGGGTGGTGGATATGGGTGGTGGATATGGGTGGTGGATATGGGGGGTGGATATGGGGGGTGGATATGGGGGGTGGATATGGGGGGTGGATATGGGGGGTGGATATGGGTGGTGGATATGGGTGGTGGATATGGGGGGTGGATATGGGGGGTGGATATGGGGGGTGGATATGGGTGGTGGATATGGGTGGTGGATATGGGGGGTGGATATGGGTGGTGGATATGGGTGGTGGATATGGGTGGTGGATATGGGTGGTGGATATGGGTGGTGGATATGGGTGGTGGATATGGGGGGTGGATATGGGGGGTGGATATGGGTGGTGGATATGGGTGGTGGATATGGGTGGTGGATATGGGTGGTGGATATGGGTGGTGGATATGGGTGGTGGATATGGGTGGTGGATATGGGGGGTGGATATGGGGGGTGGATATGGGCGGTGGATATGGGTGGTGGATATGGGTGGTGGATATGGGTGGTGGATATGGGTGGTGGATATGGGTGGTGGATATGGGTGGTGGATATGGGGGGTGGATATGGGTGGTGGATATGGGTGGTGGATATGGGTGGTGGATATGGGTGGTGGATATGGGGGGTGGATATGGGTGGTGGATATGGGTGGTGGATATGGGTGGTGGATATGGGGGGTGGATATGGGGGGTGGATATGGGTGGTGGATATGGGTGGTGGATATGGGTGGTGGATATGGGTGGTGGATATGGGTGGTGGATATGGGTGGTGGATATGGGTGGTGGATATGGGTGGTGGATATGGGTGGTGGATATGGGTGGTGGATATGGGTGGTGGATATGGGTGGTGGATATGGGTGGTGGATATGGGTGGTGGATATAGGTGGTGGATATGGGTGGTGGATATGGGGGGTGTATATGGGTGGTGGATATGGGTGGTGGATATGGGTGGTGGATATGGGTGGTGGATATGGGTGGTGGATATGGGTGGTGGATATGGGTGGTGGATATGGGTGGTGGATATGGGGGTGGATATGGGTGGTGGATATGGGTGGTGGATATGGGTGGTGGATATGGGGGGTGGATATGGGTGGTGGATATGGGTGGTGGATATGGGCGGTGGATATGGGCGGTGGATATGGGCGGTGGATATGGGCGGTGGATATGGGCGGTGGATATGGGCGGTGGATGTGGGTGGTGGATATGGGTGGTGGATATGGGGGGTGGATATGGGGGGTGGATATGGGTGGTGGATATGGGTGGTGGATATGGGTGGTGGATATGGGTGGTGGATATGGGGGGTGGATATGGGTGGTGGATATGGGTGGTGGATATGGGGGGGTGGATATGGGTGGTGGATATGGGTGGTGGATATGGGTGGTGGATATGGGTGGTGGATATGGGTGGTGGATATGGGTGGTGGATATGGGGGGTGGATATGGGGGGTGGATATGGGGGGTGGATATGGGTGGTGGATATGGGTGGTGGATATGGGTGGTGGATACGGGTGGTGGATATGGGTGGTGGATATGGGTGGTGGATATGGGTGGTGGATATGGGGGGTGGATATGGGTGGTGGATATGGGTGGTGGATATGGGTGGTGGATATGGGTGGTGGATATGGGTGGTGGATATGGGTGGTGGATATGGGTGGTGGATATGGGTGGTGGATATGGGTGGTGGATATGGGTGGTGGATATGGGGGGTGGATATGGGGGGTGGATATGGGTGGTGGATATGGGTGGTGGATATGGGTGGTGGATATGGGTGGTGGATATGGGTGGTGGATATGGGTGGTGGATATGGGGGGTGGATATGGGTGGTGGATATGGGGGGTGGATATGGGTGGTGGATATGGGGGGTGGATATGGGGGGTGGATATGGGTGGTGGATATGGGGGGTGGATATGGGTGGTGGATATGGGGGGTGGATATGGGTGGTGGATATGGGTGGTGGATATGGGTGGTGGATATGGGTGGTGGATATGGGTGGTGGATATGGGTGGTGGATATGGGTGGTGGATATGGGTGGTGGATATGGGTGGTGGATATGGGTGGTGGATATGGGGGGTGGATATGGGGGGTGGATATGGGGGGTGGATATGGGGGGTGGATATGGGGGGTGGATATGGGTGGTGGATATGGGTGGTGGATATGGGGGGTGGATATGGGGGGTGGATATGGGGGGTGGATATGGGTGGTGGATATGGGTGGTGGATATGGGGGGTGGATATGGGTGGTGGATATGGGTGGTGGATATGGGTGGTGGATATGGGTGGTGGATATGGGTGGTGGATATGGGGGGTGGATATGGGGGGTGGATATGGGTGGTGGATATGGGTGGTGGATATGGGTGGTGGATATGGGTGGTGGATATGGGTGGTGGATATGGGTGGTGGATATGGGTGGTGGATATGGGGGGTGGATATGGGGGGTGGATATGGGGTGGTGGATATGGGTGGTGGATATGGGTGGTGGATATGGGTGGTGGATATGGGTGGTGGATATGGGTGGTGGATATGGGGGGTGGATATGGGTGGTGGATATGGGTGGTGGATATGGGTGGTGGATATGGGTGGTGGATATGGGGGGTGGATATGGGGGGTGGATATGGGTGGTGGATATGGGTGGTGGATATGGGGGGTGGATATGGGGGGTGGATATGGGTGGTGGATATGGGTGGTGGATATGGGTGGTGGATATGGGTGGTGGATATGGGTGGTGGATATGGGTGGTGGATATGGGTGGTGGATATGGGTGGTGGATATGGGGGGTGGATATGGGTGGTGGATATGGGTGGTGGATATGGGTGGTGGATATGGGTGGTGGATATGGGTGGTGGATATGGGTGGTGGATATGGGTGGTGGATATGGGGGGTGGATATGGGGGGTGGATATGGGGGGTGGATATGGGCGGTGGATATGGGTGGTGGATATGGGTGGTGGATATGGGTGGTGGATATGGGTGGTGGATATGGGTGGTGGATATGGGGGGTGGATATGGGTGGTGGATATGGGTGGTGGATATGGGTGGTGGATATGGGTGGTGGATATGGGTGGTGGATATGGGGGGTGGATATGGGTGGTGGATATGGGTGGTGGATATGGGGGGTGGATATGGGGGGTGGATATGGGGGGTGGATATGGGTGGTGGATCTGGGTGGTGGATATGGGTGGTGGATATGGGTGGTGGATATGGGTGGTGGATATGGGTGGTGGATATGGGTGGTGGATATGGGTGGTGGATATGGGTGGTGGATATGGGTGGTGGATATGGGTGGTGGATATGGGTGGTGGATATGGGTGGTGGATATGGGTGGTGGATATGGGGGGTGTATATGGGTGGTGGATATGGGTGGTGGATATGGGTGGTGGATATGGGGGGTGGATATGGGTGGTGGATATGGGTGGTGGATATGGGTGGTGGATATGGGTGGTGGATATGGGGGGTGGATATGGGTGGTGGATATGGGTGGTGGATATGGGTGGTGGATATGGGGGGTGGATATGGGTGGTGGATATGGGGGGTGGATATGGGTGGTGGATATGGGTGGTGGATATGGGCGGTGGATATGGGCGGTGGATATGGGCGGTGGATATGGGTGGTGGATGTGGGCGGTGGATCTGGGTGGTGGATCTGGGGGGTGGATATGGGTGGTGGATATGGGTGGTGGATATGGGTGGTGGATATGGGTGGTGGATATGGGTGGTGGATATGGGTGGTGGATATGGGTGGTGGATATGGGTGGTGGAAATGGGTGGTGGATATGGGGGGTGGATATGGGGGGTGGATATGGGTGGTGGATATGGGTGGTGGATATGGGTGGTGGATATGGGTGGTGGATATGGGTGGTGGATATGGGTGGTGGATATGGGGGGTGGATATGGGGGGTGGATATGGGGGGTGGATATGGGGGGTGGATATGGGGGGTGGATATGGGGGGTGGATATGGGTGGTGGATATGGGGGGTGGATATGGGTGGTGGATATGGGGGGTGGATATGGGTGGTGGATATGGGTGGTGGATATGGGTGGTGGATATGGGTGGTGGATATGGGTGGTGGATATGGGTGGTGGATATGGGTGGTGGATATGGGTGGTGGATATGGGTGGTGGATATGGGGGGTGGATATGGGTGGTGGATATGGGTGGTGGATATGGGTGGTGGATATGGGGGGTGGATATGGGGGGTGGATATGGGGGGTGGATATGGGTGGTGGATATGGGTGGTGGATATGGGTGGTGGATATGGGTGGTGGATATGGGGGGTGGATATGGGGGGTGGATATGGGGGGTGGATATGGGGGGTGGATATGGGGGGTGGATATGGGTGGTGGATATGGGTGGTGGATATGGGTGGTGGATATGGGTGGTGGATATGGGTGGTGGATATGGGTGGTGGATATGGGTGGTGGATATGGGGGGTGGATATGGGTGGTGGATATGGGTGGTGGATATGGGTGGTGGATATGGGTGGTGGATATGGGTGGTGGATATGGGTGGTGGATATGGGTGGTGGATATGGGTGGTGGATATGGGATATGGGGGTGGATATGGGTGGTGGATATGGGCGGTGGATATGGGCGGTGGATATGGGTGGTGGATATGGGTGGTGGATATGGGTGGTGGATATGGGTGGTGGATATGGGTGGTGGATATGGGTGGTGGATATGGGTGGTGGATATGGGTGGTGGATATGGGTGGTGGATATGGGTGGTGGATATGGGTGGTGGATATGGGTGGTGGATATGGGTGGTGGATATGGGTGGTGGATATGGGTGGTGGATATGGGTGGTGGATATGGGGGGTGGATATGGGTGGTGGATATGGGGGGTGGATATGGGGGGTGGATATGGGGGGTGGATATGGGTGGTGGATCTGGGTGGTGGATATGGGTGGTGGATATGGGTGGTGGATATGGGTGGTGGATATGGGGGTGGATATGGGGGGTGGATATGGGTGGTGGATATGGGTGGTGGATATGGGGGGTGGATATGGGTGGTGGATATGGGTGGTGGATATGGGTGGTGGATATGGGTGGTGGATATGGGTGGTGGATATGGGGGGTGGATATGGGGGGTGGATATGGGTGGTGGATATGGGTGGTGGATATGGGTGGTGGATATGGGTGGTGGATATGGGTGGTGGATATGGGGGGTGGATATGGGGGGTGGATATGGGGGGTGGATATGGGGGGTGGATATGGGGGGTGGATATGGGTGGTGGATATGGGTGGTGGATATGGGTGGTGGATATGGGTGGTGGATATGGGTGGTGGAAATGGGTGGTGGATATGGGGGGTGGATATGGGGGGTGGATATGGGTGGTGGATATGGGTGGTGGATATGGGTGGTGGATATGGGTGGTGGATATGGGTGGTGGATATGGGTGGTGGATATGGGGGGTGGATATGGGGGGTGGATATGATGGGGGGTGGATATGGGGGGTGGATATGGGGGTGGATATGGGGGGTGGATATGGGTGGTGGATATGGGTGGTGGATATGGGGGTGGATATGGGTGGTGGATATGGGGGGTGGATATGGGTGGTGGATATGGGTGGTGGATATGGGTGGTGGATATGGGTGGTGGATATGGGTGGTGGATATGGGTGGTGGATATGGGTGGTGGATATGGGTGGTGGATATGGGTGGTGGATATGGGGGGTGGATATGGGTGGTGGATATGGGTGGTGGATATGGGTGGTGGATATGGGGGGTGGATATGGGGGGTGGATATGGGGGGTGGATATGGGTGGTGGATATGGGTGGTGGATATGGGTGGTGGATATGGGTGGTGGATATGGGGGGTGGATATGGGGGGTGGATATGGGGGGTGGATATGGGGGGTGGATATGGGGGGTGGATATGGGTGGTGGATATGGGTGGTGGATATGGGTGGTGGATATGGGTGGTGGATATGGGTGGTGGATATGGGTGGTGGATATGGGGGGTGGATATGGGGGGTGGATATGGGTGGTGGATATGGGTGGTGGATATGGGTGGTGGATATGGGTGGTGGATATGGGTGGTGGATATGGGTGGTGGATATGGGTGGTGGATATGGGTGGTGGATATGGGGGTGGATATGGGTGGTGGATATGGGCGGTGGATATGGGCGGTGGATATGGGTGGTGGATATGGGTGGTGGATATGGGTGGTGGATATGGGTGGTGGATATGGGTGGTGGATATGGGTGGTGGATATGGGTGGTGGATATGGGTGGTGGATATGGGTGGTGGATATGGGTGGTGGATATGGGTGGTGGATATGGGTGGTGGATATGGGTGGTGGATATGGGTGGTGGATATGGGTGGTGGATATGGGTGGTGGATATGGGTGGTGGATATGGGTGGTGGATATGGGTGGTGGATATGGGTGGTGGATATGGGTGGTGGATATGGGTGGTGGATATGGGTGGGTGGATATGGGTGGTGGATATGGGTGGTGGATATGGGTGGTGGATATGGGTGGTGGATATGGGGGTGGATATGGGTGGTGGATATGGGTGGTGGATATGGGTGGTGGATATGGGTGGTGGATATGGGTGGTGGATATGGGTGGTGGATATGGGTGGTGGATATGGGTGGTGGATATGGGTGGTGGATATGGGCGGTGGATATGGGCGGTGGATATGGGGGTGGATATGGGTGGTGGATATGGGTGGTGGATATGGGGGGTGGATATGGGTGGTGGATATGGGTGGTGGATATGGGTGGTGGATATGGGTGGTGGATATGGGTGGTGGATATGGGGGGTGGATATGGGTGGTGGATATGGGTGGTGGATATGGGTGGTGGATATGGGTGGTGGATATGGGTGGTGGATATGGGTGGTGGATATGGGTGGTGTATGGGTGGGATATGGGTGGTGGATATGGGTGGTGGATATGGGTGGTGGATATGGGTGGTGGATATGGGTGGTGGATATGGGTGGTGGATATGGGTGGTGGATATGGGTGGTGGATATGGGTGGTGGATATGGGTGGTGGATATGGGTGGTGGATATGGGGGGTGGATATGGGTGGTGGATATGGGTGGTGGATATGGGTGGTGGATATGGGTGGTGGATATGGGTGGTGGATATGGGTGGTGGATATGGGTGGTGGATATGGGTGGTGGATATGGGTGGTGGATATGGGGGGTGGATATGGGTGGTGGATATGGGTGGTGGATATGGGTGGTGGATATGGGTGGTGGATATGGGGGGTGGATATGGGTGGTGGATATGGGTGGTGGATATGGGTGGTGGATATGGGTGGTGGATATGGGTGGTGGATATGGGTGGTGGATATGGGTGGTGGATATGGGGGGTGGATATGGGTGGTGGATATGGGTGGTGGATATGGGTGGTGGATATGGGGGGTGGATATGGGTGGTGGATATGGGTGGTGGATATGGGTGGTGGATATGGGTGGTGGATATGGGTGGTGGATATGGGCGGTGGATATGGGGGGTGGATATGGGTGGTGGATATGGGTGGTGGATATGGGTGGTGGATATGGGGGGTGGATATGGGGGGTGGATATGGGTGGTGGATATGGGTGGTGGATATGGGTGGTGGATATGGGTGGTGGATATGGGTGGTGGATATGGGGGGTGGATATGGGTGGTGGATATGGGTGGTGGATATGGGGGGTGGATATGGGGGGTGGATATGGGGGGTGGATATGGGGGGTGGATATGGGGGGTGGATATGGGGGGTGGATACGAGGGGTGGATATGGGGGGTGGATACGTAGACAGGGGACAAATAGCTTTGAATGTATGATGTGCGCTGACAAAGGCTTCGGCCAAAACGCGTACGCACAATTAGTTCTTACGCGTCCACGCGGCTTGACATAGGCGCGTTAACAATAGTATTTTCAATAGTCTGCTGCACTCTGGAAGCTATAGATGACCACTCACCTCCTTCCACCTCCTCCCAACCACACACGCACACCCTCCACCAACTCACCTCCTCATCCCCCTCTGCGCACTGCACCAGCAGCACCATTCCGCCTCCCCACCCAACCACTCAACCACTCACCCACCCCCCGCACTCACCTCCTCATCCCCCTCTGCACGCTGCACCAGCAGCACCACCCCCTGCTCGCCCTTGAGCGTTGCCAGGAGGTCAGGGTCTATACGCTCCACCTGACAGAGGGAAAGATGGGGGAGGGGAGGATGAGGGTGGGGGGTTCTTTACTTGAATCAACAAAAGCACCACCCCTTCCCCCTCCCCCTACCGCATTGCAAGGAGGTCAGGACCTATGCGCTCCACCTGAGGCAGAGGGAAGGAGTGGAACAGGGAGAGCCAGGGAATTCTTTAGTTTACTCGACTAAAGCACCGGCAGCACCACCCCTTCTCCTCCCCCTACCGCGTTTTCAAAAAGTTAGGCTATGCGCTCCTCCTGCGGCACCATCCCGTCCTCCTCCTCTCCCAACCTCACCCTTCTTTACCCCCCCTCACCCATCCTCACCCATCCTCACCCATCCTCACCCATCCTCGCCCTGCATCACCTCCACCAGCTTCCCCACAGCAGTGCCAGGAACAAGCACGTCCCACCTCTCGGCCCTCAGCACCGACCACATCACGCGCAGCAGCAGTGAGGTGAGCATTTTCTAGGCGCCTCAAGAATCGTATCAACACACGCCCCCAGCCACTCACCTCCACGAGCTTGCCCACTGCAGTGCCAGGAACAAGCACATCCCAGCCCTCAGCCCCCAGCACCGACCGCATCACACGCAGCAGCAGAGAGGTGAGCTTTGCCAGCTGAAACACCACACTGGTAAGGGAGAGAGGGGGGTAAGAGGGAGGGAGGGGGGTAAGAGGGAGGGAGGGGGGTAAGAGGGAGAGAGGGGGGTAAGAGGGAGGGAGGGGGGTTCAGGTGACAGCTGGCACGTCCCAGCCCTCAGGCACCCAGCACTGATCGCATCACACGCAACAGCAGAGAGGTGAGCTTCGCCAGCTGAAACACCACACTGGTGGGGGCTGGAGAGGAGAGGAGGTGAGGGAGGGAGGGAGGGAGGGAAGGGTGGGGGGGCGGCGAGGGGATTGAGGCGACACTAGACACATCACCCTCGGGCCCCAACACTGATTGAATCACACACAGCAGCAGAGACGTGGGCTTCGCCAGCTGAATGAAACGCCTCACTGGGAGAACGGGTAAGGGGGAAGAGGGGAGGGTGGAATGGCTCAGACCTCACCTGGATAAATTCTCACCTTAACCATTTTTTTTTTCAAAATTCTCACCTGGATCTAAATCTCCCTGAATCGAATCACCTGAGTCAAATTTAAGCTAGACCAAATTTCGCCTGGAACTAATCTCACCTGGATCGAATCTCAGCCTCTGCAAACGTCCGCACAGCGTTCTCCTCGATTCCCAGTGCGTGGCCTAGCTTCTGCCACGTGGAGTAAACAGGGCAGGGATGAACAGTGGGTAGCGGAAAGGGGAAAGGGAGGGGGAGACTGTGAAAAGGGGAAAGAAGGGGGAGATTGTGGTAGGGGGGAGCGACGGGGAGAGCATGTGTAGCGTTGGGATGCTGGGATGGGCTTGTTGAGAGGGCTTGTGCCATGCGTGGGATATCGCACCAGAGAGGGCTCGAAGAAGAGTTTGGTCTCAGTAAAGGCCTCTGCTAGTGGCTTGCACTCAGCTTCACCCTGACCCACTGCTGTACACTGTACACTGCAATACTGCACTGCACCCGTGCACAAGCACACATCAGCGATGGCTGTTAGTGCAACCCGTCACGCGCACCTGTGAGGGCTCGAAGAAGAGATCCAGCGTGGTCTCTGTGAATGCCTCTGAGAGCGCTGCTGCTTGCACCTGAAGTCACTGCAACATGACCAACTGCTCTTAGCACATCCCCACACACGCACGCACCTGCGAGGGCTCGAAGGAGTGTGGTCTCTGTGAAGGCCTCTGTGAGTGCAGGTAGCACTCATGAGTCACCGCTGCACTGCACATTGCACGCTCTTCTTGGTGCACTGCCCCCCCAGACACGCACCTGTGAGGGCTCGAAGAAGAGCTCAAGCGTGGTCTCTGTGAATGCTTCTGTGAGTGCTGCTTGCAGTCAGTGGTATTGCAGAGCAGCACACTGTACAATGCACACTGCTTTTAGTGCAACCCCACGCACACACCTGCGAGGGCTCGAAGAAGAGCTCAAGTGTGGTCTCTGTGAAGGCCTCTGTGAGTCGCCTCATGCGGTCCAAAGAAGCCTTGAGCCTCAACGCCCACCACCGCAGATCATGCTCTGATGCCACACCTGGACGCAACAGAGCCGGGAAGAGAGGAGAGTAAATGTGCGTGCGTGTATCAGAGTGCCTGTGCCTGTGCCTGTGCCTGTGCCTGTGCCTGTGCCTGTGCCTGTGCCTGTGCCTTGAGCCTCAGAACACCACTGAAAATTGTGCTCTGATGCAACACCTGACACGCGTTGAGCTAGCTTTCAAGGCAGAAGCACTCCGCCTGGTTCCACCCGGACAGCCACAGGTAACGCAGCCTTCTCTAAACTCTTTCAAATAATGGTGGTGGAGTGAAGTTGATTCCTGGAGCATCATCGGGCCTTGTATTTCACCTCACCTGCGCTGCCGATGCCAGCAGCCAGCCAGGAAGCCAGTTCGTTCTCAAGGCAAAAGCACTCCGCCTGGTTCCACCCGAACAGACAGCCTCAGGTGCTGCTGCGGCCCTCCTCTTAACCCCTTCATATCAAGTAGGAGCCCCAGGTGCCTCGCCCCTTCCCCTTTCAGGTCAAGTTGGTGAGTTTCAGCTCACCTGCACTGCCGATGCCAGCAGCCTGCCAGGACGCGAGCTCGTTCTCAAGACAGAAGCACTCCGCCTGGTTCCACCCGGACAGCCCCAGGTGCCTCAGCCCCAGCACTGCCGCCCCCAGCGCCACCCCCACGTGCCCCAGCTGCCCCATGCGGATCTCCCCTGCCATGCCCTCCGCTGCCTTGTCTCCCCCTTCCTCGTCAAACAGCTCGTTCAGAAACCTGGGAGGAGGGGGGAGAGGGGGGTGGGGGAGACAAATGACGGAGGAGCGGGGAGAAGAGGAGAAGGAGAGGAGGAGAGAGTGAGAGATGGGAGAGAGGGAGAGTGGTGAAAAGGGCATCGAACCGCCTCCTAAGATGCCACTCCCCCTGCTTGCCTACACTACCGCCCCAAGCTCTGAACCACCCCCACGTGCCCCAGCTGCCCCATGCGGATCTCCCCCGCCATGCCCTCCCCTGCCTTCCCCCCGTTCTTCGTCAAACAGCTCGTTCAGGAACCTTCCAGAGTAGGTTGGTGTTACTTTTGAGACGGCTCAGGAACTCACTTGTTACACGTGCCTTCCAGAACAGGTTGGTGTTACATTTGCGAATTCTCAAAAGTAACACCAACATGTTAGGGTCTACAAGCTCCTTACAACAGCAACATAGCGTGACCCTCACCTGGTTGACTGCACCAGCGCACCCTTTCCTACTGCGCTGCCAAATCTACACTAGTTTTGAGTCGACTCAAAACTTTGCACCAGCGCACCCTTGCCTACTGCGCTACACCAAATCTTCGCTAGTTGCCTAGCATGTGTCTCTAAGCTTCAAGGGAGGGTATTCGCAGAACGAATGGAAGGCCCATTGCACAAACAATGAGAATCACTTGCATTGCATTGTGACTCCCCTCCCTTACCTGCTCAGCAGCACGAAGAAATACTCCTCGAGACAGATCTCTGCCAGTCACCACTGGGGGAGAAGGGAGAAAGAGGTGCCTCGTGCACCTGCTTGAACAAACACTTGCTCACCTGCTCACGTGCCTCATGCAGCACTGCTCACCTGCTCAGCAGCACGAAGAAATACTCCTCCAGACAGATCTCCGCCAGTCGCCACTGCGGAAAGTGGGAAAGGGGTGGGGCAGGAAGGAGGGGATTCTTTTCAGTGCCCTGAAATAAGTACTCCTCGTGACAGATCTCTGCTAAAGGAAGTTAAATACAGAAGCACGGCCACTTCCCAACTACATCCTTGTTCCCTCCAACTCCCATCTCTCTCCCCGCTCACCTTCTGCTGCACGGCAAAGGCACTATCTGGAGCTTCATTCATCAGCCAACTCTCCGGGCAAGACAGCAGCACAGGCCACAGCCCACCCTCACCTTCGTCCCTATTCCCCCAACTGTGATCACCCTTCTTCCCCACCTTTCCCGCACCTTCTGCCACATGGCAATGGCATCATCAGGTGCGTCATTCCTCAGCCCACTCTCCAGAGAATACCCATCAGCACGGCACGCAGCCCTGTGCTTACTCCTATCCCGCTCCTTCTACCAACCACTGCCCCCACCTCTACCCAACCACTTCTCACCTTCTGTCGCATGGCAATGGCATCATAGCACCGTTCCTGAGCCCACTCGTATCCCTCACCTTCACCCCACCTTCACCCAAACTGCTTCTCACCTTCTGCCGCATGGCAATGGCATCATCAGGAGCATCGTTCCTGAGCCCACTCTCCAGGGAATACATCAGCACGGCCCGCAGCCCTGTCAGCGCATGCAGCGCTGACATCAGCACGTCAGTCGGCCGACCGGACGCTGCCGCCCCCTGTGATGACTCTCCTGATGCACCTGCTGAAGACGGCAGTGCATCGACGTTCTGGGCGGGGGGAGAGAGTGGGGAGGGGGGAGGGGGGAGGGGGGAGGGGAAAGGGGGGTTGACATCAGCACATCAGTCGGCCGCCTGGACGCTGCCGCCCCCTGTGCTGACTCTCCATGCGCACCAGCGGAAGACGGCAGTGCATCGACGTTCTGGGAAGAGAGAGGCGCGGGTGCGCAGTGCAAGGGTGCGAAGAAGATTATGGGGGGTTAGTGTAACGTCTCAAACATGCAGCGCTGACATCAGCCGTCAGTGGGCCGCCCTGACGCTGGTCCCCCCTGTGCCGACTCTCCTGATGCACCTGCCAAAGACGGCAGTGCATCGACGTTCTGGGCGTGGGGAGAGAGGGGGGAGGGGGTAGGGGAAAGGGGGGCTGACATCAGCACGTCAGTGGGCCGCCCTGGCGCTGCTGCCCCCTGTGATGACTCTCCTGATGCCCCTGCCGAAGATGGCAGTGCATTGACATTCTGGGAGCAAAGGGGCGCGGGGGGCGGAGGAGGGGGGGGGGGGGGGGGGGAGAGAGGGGGGGAAGGGGAGAGAAGGGGGGGAGTGGGTGTGTGTGCAGTGCAGGGGTGCGAAGAAGAAAGTGGGGGGTTATTGTAACGTCCCAAACCTGCTGATCCGCACCCCTTGTCTGATAGGAAAGTCACCTCATCAATCCTCACCGCACCTCATCAATCCTCACCCCACCTGCTGGATCCTCACACCTTACCTGCTTGCATGCGAGGAAGTTCTGCAGCATGGCAGCGCCCGTGTCGTCCAGATAGGGGCGAGTCTTGACAAGTCTCACCCACACCTGCTAATTTTTCAATCCCACCTGTCGATATTCTCACCCGCACCTGCTACCTGCGCAATCCTCGCCCCACCTGCTGAATCCTCACCCCTTACCTGCTTGCACGCGAGGAAGTTCTGCAGCATGGCAGCGCCTGTATCGTCCAGTGAGGGGCGAATGCTCTCCAGCAACTCCGTCAGACTGACAGTGAGAAGGGGGTGCAGGGTTGTGGGGGTGTGGTGGTGATGGGGGGAGGGGGGGGGTGGTGGGAGTGTGGAGGAGGGGTAGGGGAGCGCATTGAAAGAAGAGTGCAGTCAGGGGCTACCCTCTCAAGCATGGCTGGTTTTTGAGAATTCTCAAAAACCACCTCATAGGGGAGCGAATTGAAAGACGAGTGCAATCAGGGGCTACCCAGAAAGGAGCGCTTGAATGCTCCTCTCAAGCATGGCAGAGCCCGTGTCATCCAAAAAGGGGCGAATGCTCTCCAGGAGCTCCGTCAGACTGGGAAGGGGAGAGGGGATGTGGAGTTGGCGTTGTGGGGGTGTGGAGGCGAGAGGTTGTGGAGGTTAAGGAGTGTACTGAAAAGAAAAGGGCATCCAGGGGCTACCCAGAAAGGAGCGCTTGAATGCTCCTCTCAAGCATGGCAGAGCCCGTGTCATCCAGAAAGGGGCGAATGCCCTCCAGGAGCTCGGTCAGGCTGGCTGGGAGAAGGGGGGGAAGTAGGGAGGTTAGGATTGCGCAGGTATAGGGTTGTTTGTGCTTAGGGTTGTTCTTTGGGTTGTTGTTTTGAGTAAATAGCGGTGAACGAAACCTTCGAGCTCAGCTTAGAACAGCTTCGGCTACTGCACAAACGAGGTGGCTTTCGAGTCGACTAAAAAGTCAACTCAGCTTAGAACAGCTTCAGCTACTGCACAAACGAGGTGGCTTTCGAGTCGACTCAAAAGTCACCTCAGCTTAGAACAGCTTCGGCTGCTGCACAAACGAGGTGGCTTTCGAGTCGACTCAAAAGTCACCTCAGCTTAGAACAGCTTCGGCTACTGCACAAACGAGGTGGCTTTTGAGTCGACTCAAAAGTCACCTCAGCTTAGAACAGCTTCAGCTACTGCACAAACGCCTCACTGTACATTCGTTGGTGTCTCTCTCTCTCTCCCCCCCTCCTCCCTATGCATGTGCAACAGAACTACCTGCTTGCGTTGAAAAAGTCCTTGAGCTCAGCGTAGAACAGCTTCAGCTGCTGCACGAACGCCTCGCTGTCTTCCCCCGGGGTGCGCGTCACCCGCCGCAGCAGCTCCGTGCGTTCAGCTCCGTCTATTCACCCCCTCGCTTCCTCTCTCCCACTCACCCTGTCGCCTACCTGCTCGCGTTGAAAAAGTCCTTGAGCTCAGCGTAGAACAGCTTCAGCTGCTGCACGAATGCCTTGCTGTCTTCCCCCAGGGTGCGCGTCACCCGCCGCAGCAGCTCCGTGCGTTCAGCTCCGTCTATTCACCCCCTCGCTTCCTCTCTCCCACTCACCCTGTCGCCTACCTGCTCGCATTGAAGAAGTCTTTGAGCTCAGCGTAGAACAGCTTCAGCTGCTGCACGAACGCCTCGCTGTATTCGCCTGGCGTGCGGGTCACCCGGCGCAGCAGCAGCTCCGTGGCCACCAGGTCCTCGGGCCCGGCGTTGCGGTGCAGCTTGTTCTGAATCGTGTGCTTGATCTCTTGCTGTTGGAGGGTGGCGGAGAGGGGATTGAGGGGGAAAGGCGGAGGGGGAAGGGGGGGAACGAGAAACAGAAGCACGAGAGAAGAGGGAATGGTGCTTGGGGCCAAGGGGCGAGTTGGAAGGGAGTGGAGCGGGGAAGAGTTAATTCGACACACAGGTGCGCCATACGTTGAAATTGTGCGGTGAGCAATTTCAGGTGCCGTACCTTGACATTGCTCATGTCGTTGCGGTGAGCAATGTCTCGGATGCGCGTGAGGGGCACGGACGCCGTGAAGTCAGTGTCTCTGAAACTGATAGCCCCCCTGCCGTCCTCCATATGCTTCAATCCCTCATTGTACTCACCCTGCGCCTGAAGATGGAGTTCTGAGGTTGCACCACTCACGCGCACCTTGCATCATGCATGCAGCATACCTTAAGGTTGTGTGGGATGTCGTTGCGGTGAGCAATGTCTCGGATGCGAGTGAGGGGTACTGACGCCGTGAAGTCAGCAGAGAAGGCGGGCAGGCGCGGATGAATCTTGCGCATCACCACTTTCTCCTGAGGGGGGGAGTGGGAAGGAGGGAGAGGGAGAGAGAGGGGTGGGAAAGGGGAGAGAGGGGGGAAGATGGGGGCACATCAACATGGGAAGGGGGGCAGGCGCGGATGAATATTGAGCATCACCGCTTTCTCCTGAGGGGGGTAAGGGGGGAAGTGGGGGAAGACCGGGGCGGGCACATCAATGTGGGAAGGCGGGCAGGCGCGGATGGAGCTTGCGCATCAAACTTTCTCCTGAGGGGAAAAAGGGGGGGGTTACGGGATGGCTGGATCAGGGTGGTCAGCACACAGCAAGCGCAACGGACGGAAAATGCAAGGGGGTTAGCACACAGCACCCACACACAGCACCCACACACAGCACCCACACACAGCACCCACACACAGCACCCACACACAGCACCCACACACAGCACCCACACACAGCACCCACACACAGCACCCACACACAGCACCCACACACAGCACCCACACACAGCACCCACACACAGCACCCACACACAGCACCCACACACAGCACGCACCTCAGACGTGAGAGCAGAGCTCCTGGTGCCTTCCTTCTCGAGCCAGCGGAAGATGCGGCGGGAGATCTCCGCGTGGCGATTGGGCCGCCTGTGCCCGCCGTCCTCCACGCACGGGATCTGCCCCGTGTTGATCCACTGCGGTGGAGAGGTGTGGGGAACGGTAGAGGCGCATGAGGCGAGGGGAAACACAGGGGCGCATGCAAAGTGGAATATTGGTGTCGAAAGTGAATACAAAAACCCGAAGCAAAAATGCACAGCGTGAATCATGGCATACCTGCAGGTAGACGGACGCGTAGATCATGGCATACCTGCAGGTAGATGGACGCGTAAATCATGGCATACCTGCAGGTAGATGGACGCGTAAATCATGGCATACCTGCAGGTAGATGGACGCGTAAATCATGGCATACCTGCAGGTAGATGGACGCGTGAATCATGGCATACCTGCAGGTAGATGGACGCGTAGATCATGGCATCGAGCCGCTGACCCCGCTCCAACGGCAATAGAAGCTGCTCCACTACCTCCAGCTGTATGACGGGAAGGGGTTTGGAGAGATTTAGAGGGGTTTGATAAGGTTTGAGGTAAGACGCGGGCTGCGTTTCTTGGCACGATTTCCTCGAACAGAACGTATTTGCAAATGACTCGGCGACGGCGTCAGCATTTTTCGTTCAATTTCCATCGCCCGCCAACCATAGATTTGGCCAAGACGATATGCGGTTAAGAATGTCATGGTACGCACGTACAGTCGGCAAGGTGACTTGTTAGTCATGACATAAGTCATTCCGACAGCAATAACGCAAATCTGAAACGACAATATACCAAAAACCCCGGTACGAGCAGTCGTCATTCGTGGTTCCGCCCGTGCCAAACCCTAAGTGTTACTCGTATGCCTCATGCTAATCATACTGTCCGTTCTTTGAGCAGTTAATCTCAGTCGTACCCCGTCAGTGCCGTTCCGTTCATACCGTCGGAGTCGTCTTCCCGCCAGTTTCAGTCGGAGCAGTCAATCTTACCGACAAGGCCGATTGTATGAACCAATCGTACCGTTTTACTCTATCGTACCGTCGGTGGCAATCGTCCGTTAGTCTCAATTGTACCGTCGGTGTCGATTGTAAGCCTATCGTACCGTCCGTATCGTCGACAATACCGTGGAGCTAAATCGTATCATCAATGTCAGTCGTACCGTTAGTGCAACCAGTACCGTCGGTGTCAACAGCACCATCAGAACCATTCGTACCTTGCGCCACCAGTTCCCCGCGCCCTTATCAGCCTCGACCAGCGTCTTCGCCGGCCCCTCAAGCCCGCTCGTGTCCCAACGTCCGCGCCTCTCGCTCTTGTGCGCGTTACTCCTCATAAACTCCACACCCCTTCCCGCCCATTTCTGCGCAAACGCGCTCTCCTCCAACTCCCCGTCTTCCGCGGATGAAAACTCCCCCTCGCTCTCAGACCCACTGTCGACGCCGACTGGAGCTTCGTTGGAAGATCCTGCTCTATCCTCCTTAGTAACCTCCCACGACAGGGTTGCAGCGGTTTTGTTCCATTCGACATTGGTGTTGAATTCTTTGCCGCGGGGTTCAACCCCCGGAACAGTCACCTTCCTGTTAGGGCCATCTTCCCAGACCGCGCTCTTCCCGTTCTTTACAATCACAAATTTGAACTCCACGTCTTGACCTGCAGGCGCGTCAAGGGTAACGCTCCAGCCGGCTTCGCTCCATTGAAGAGCTTTCGGATCCGTCCAGGACCCGAGCCAATCAGCAGATCCAACGACCGCGATGCTCTCCCCGAATTTAACCTGAATCGGGAGATTGAAACGCACTTTCACCTTACTTCCTGCAGATACAGCTGCAGTCACTCTCACTGCGGTGACTCTAACGGAAGAACTAGGAAATGGTTTATCCGTTAAGCGAGAATAAGTGTCATATTGAGCCCTGAGAGCATTGGGAAGCTGACTGGATAGCCCGAGAACGGAGAGCTTGGAGGAATTTCTGCTTGATCGCAGGCCCTGCAGTGCTACTGGTTGCACTGAGGAGCTGCTCAATGTGCCTCGCAGGCACTCCATTATCTTCACGTGCTAGACTCGCTAAGTGTCCGCACTATGAAGAGTTCAAGCTCAGCGGCTAATTCCTAAGATTCAGGCCCTGGGAAAGCTTGGATCACAGCAATAAGAAGCTTATGCTGGTCTGTTTCTTGATGAAGAATCAGACAGCTTAGATCAAGCGGAAGCTTGTGCTGCTGTAGCTGCTCTGCTACTGAGATTCCTGCAATCCCTCTATGTTGCAATGCAATTTCAGAAGATAGATCAGCAATACGGGATGGAGTTTCCTAGGGTGTGGGTCAGCCAGCCAACCAGACCAGGCCACGAAGCGGACATTGGGGAAAACCGAAAGAAGTTTGGAGCCCCATTTAGCCGGAAAAAGGGTCAGGTGCTCGCAAGGGTGAATATCGAGGCTGTCTGATTCGCACAATGATGTAACTGGGGAGCTGGAAAGTGAAAGCGGGAAGATCTTTTCCGCCACGTCGACGACTCCCACAATTTGGGGGATCAACAACCGCCTGACTCGACAGCCTCGAAGCCACTCACTTCTCTTCCTCTAGCCTTCGCTGTAGAGGCACTCCTTAATTGCAAGTGCTCAATTGACTTCCATATCTACTCGAAATCGACATCTCCAACACACAGGTCGTTGTTTCGCGAACCTTCCAAAACCTGTTCGTCATTGGTGCGCGTACAAACCGAGGCAGAGGCGCCAAATTCTGCCGAGGCAACTGCCGTTGACGTGTGGGAAAAGCTTCAATTCCCGTTATAAGGAAAATCTCTTTTTCCTTACTTCGCGTCCCTGCTCAACGCATACGTCACTTTAGCACCACAGTCAGCACCGTTACCACTCGCAATCCTCGCATCGACAATCCGCCCGCCACCTTCGCACGTCGCACCCCGAACTCACGGCTCGGCGGGTAACCCGCGCTCCGGGCCTCCGCTTCGACACTTTTCCCAACCTCAGTCCCAGGCCCGTCGCGCGACAACCACAATCCATTACCGTTACCACTGTAGTTTCGCTATATATTCTTCGCTCATGCCTTCGCTCATTGTACTCTTGCTTCGATAGTGCAATTCTCGTTCGTTCACTCAATTGCACACGTAACACTTGGTATTCAGAGCCTACGATCTCCTCTCGGGCCGCACCCACACCTTCGCTTCCCCACTATCTCAATTTTTTGGGGGGGGGTAGACGTCTCTCAGCGACACAGCACCGCCGCTCGTAGTGCTCTCTCGTAAGCACGCACGGCCACGACCGAGGCTCTCGCTGAGCTCGCCCAACACCCCCGCCATGGCCGAATTCACGCTCGCCACATTGACGCAGGAGCAGCTTGACCGTCTGGTGCGCCAACTTGAAGATTCGGCGCTCGAAATTGCGACGCTCACGGCGGAACGTGACTCCGCACGTCAGCAATCCACGGTGAACATTCCAGCGCCATCACACGCACCAACAAATGCATCTGCACGACCGGACGAGCCGATCGTCATTTCGTCCGGCACACCAACGCAACACGACAGCGTGGGACAGCGCTCAGGCGCAGCCAGTGATTGCGCCGCCCAGCCGATGCCTGGCATGGGAGGAAACAGGGTCGCACCAAGCCCGTAGGAGCCTCGTGAATGTCAAAATTATATTGTTATAACTGCATGTAGTTCTAGCTGTAGTGTAGTTATCCTAATCATCCTGTTTGGTGGTTCACCTTCTTGTCATGCTTCTTGCCTATTTGTACCTTTGATTCTATAGTGAAACCCCTCTTTTGGTAAAATCTCTCGACATGTTCATCTCTAAGTCTCCTCCTACCCCAAACCCTAGTCTTAGCTTAATCTACTATTCTGACATGCTATCAGAGCTGTAAGCTCCTGGACCTACGCCTAAATGGGCCCACCCTTTCGTAGCAATGACGCCCCTGCTAGCGCACAAGCGCAAATACTGCAGAAGCTTCATGCTCGTTTCTGCCAGCTCACGGAATGGCAGCTCCTACGCTCGTCGCTCGCCCCGTCGCCCTGCCGCTGCAGTCGCCGCGGCGCTCCGCGTCCCGTCGCCGCGGCGCCCCACGATCTGTCGCCGCGGCGCCTCGCATCGGCGCCCCGCGTCCCGTCGCCTCGGCGCCCGCTTCCAACGCGGACGCCTGCTCCCGACGTCGTCGCGGACGCCACCGCCAGACGCAAGCGCCGACGCCAGCGCCAGGCACCAACGCCGACGCCAGCGCCTAGCGCCAGCGCTGACGCCAGCGCGGACGCCATCGCTCGAAGCGGACGCCGGTGCCAGGCGCCAGCGCGGACGGCAGAAGCCAGCGCCATCGGCAGGTTGCGGGGGGAGGGTGAGGGAAAAGGGGGAGAGTGTGAGGGAGTGACGAGAGAGATTCTGCCGAGCCAGCAGCCGCCCCTCCTCCTCTCTCTCTCACTGCCGCGCGTGCTGCCGTGGGGGGGAGGGTGAGACGGTGGCGGAATTCAGCTGGGCATCTGCTGCTGCCGCCAGCTGCTACTGTGGCACCTCCAGCTGTCGCCCCTGTCGCCACCTGCCCTGTCTTTTGCTACATGCTGCTGGGGCCTGCAGGTGCTGCCGTCGAGCCGCTACTGTCCTGCTGCACGTTGCAGCCACAGAGCCTGCTCCTCAGGCGACCTGCCGCCCCTACACTTGCTTCTGCTGCTTCTATCTTGGCTGAGGGGTTGGTGCAGCTGAATCTGCTACCACTGCACTGGTTGCAACTGCTCTTGCTTGCTGTTGCTGTTTTCTCTGTCTATGATGTACCCCTGCAGGTTGTGTCTTGCACTTGGCTATTCCTGCATGCAGTTATGGGGGGATGTCAAAATTATATTGTTATAACTGCATGTAGTTCTAGCTGTAATGTAGTTATCCTAATCATCCTGTTTGGTGGTTCACCTTCTTGTCATGCTTCTTGCCTATTTGTACCTTTGATTCTATAGTGAAACCCCTCTTTTGGTAAAATCTCTCGACATGTTCATCTCTAAGTCTCCTCCTACCCCAAACCCTAGTCTTAGCTTAATCTACTATTCTGACAGTGAAGCCCGTCGGCACGTGGAGTTCGCGGCGACAAGTGGCGAACAGGCCATTATGGCACCCATGCCACTCAAGCCGCAACGCCCGCCCTGCTTCGACCCAAGCCAACGTGGAGGTCCGACGGTTCAATCGTGGGTTTTCACGATAAACGTCTTCTTCGACGCGAATTACGTCGAGTTGGATGCAGCGAAGATTCGGTATGCCGTTTCGATTTTAAGGGGCCCCGCCATAGACTCGTGGCGAGTCATCGTGACGTCGCCACGCGCCTACGAGTCACCGTCGCAAGAGGAAGGGCCCACGGGTCCAGCTGTCACCTGGAGTTCATTCTGCGAGACCGCCCAATACAGCACGTGGGATGCGTGGTGCGCAGCGCTTCGGGCGCGCTTCGAGCCGATCGCGGCTTCTATTTCAACGCGTCAGAGATTGCGCACTTGGCGGCAGCTCGGGTCGCTTCAAGATTACACGAGCGGTTTTCTCGCACTTTGCGAGCAGGTCGGCTACATGCACGAAGCAGAGCGGGTGGACCGTTACGTCGTAGGGCTGAAGCCGGATATCTCGCACGAAATCATGCTGCGCGGACTCTCGAACTTCAACGAGATTCTCGCGCTCGCCGAGAAAATCGACATTCTACGTCGACCGAGACCGGGGTCCTACTACGGACATCGTCCTCGGGGACCGATCGAGCACACCACTGTAAACGCTGTTGCAACGAATGCAGCTGCCGCACCGTTTAAGGGGCGCTGCTTTGCTTGCAACAGGCCGGGCCATCGCAAGAGCGAATGCCCAGAGGAGCTAAGGCGCCGCGGAGCAGAGCAGGGGGGGGAGTCTCGGAGGCAGGGAAACGCCAGCAGTCAGTAGAAGTTGGGCCAACTACTGACGAGACTGCCTGCTCGCCCAACCACACCGAACCTCACCGAGTCACAGTACCGATTCACGCCATCAATCGGGCTCGGATGGATGAATAAGGAGGGTACAGTGACGGATTGCTCAGTACTGATCCACGGGAAAATACAGGGAGCAGCAGTGAAGGTTTTTATAGACGGAGGAGCAAGCCACAGTCTAGTTAATACCGCAACCGCACGAAAACTATAGCTGACACTTAGCCGTTGCTTACCGGAGACGCACGCTTAGTCGACGGCACGCCACTAGCCATGCGGGAAAAGGTAGAGCGAGTCAAAGTCCGCTGCGGGGGAAATTTCGGATTTACACAGGAAATGCTCGCAACGACACTGGATGGACACGATATTTTTCTGGGACGTGATTGGCTGCGACGGTATAATCCGCGAATTGACTAGACGAC